AGGAACTAGAGGAAAGTTGTATGTTTCATCGTTGCTACACTGCACCCTGACTGGTTCGTCTCCCTCCTTACCCCCACCCCCACCACCCCCACCCCCGTGACCCTTCCGTAAGGGGATGTCCAATTGCCAAGGACAAATATGTTATGAGACCACTGTAATTTTTTTTAATATCAAGAAAAAGTTTTCAAGTGAAACAGACTTTGATGGTTACCAGGAATGGGAGAGAGGGGAGGGAAGGCTGGAGGGGAGCCAGGGGGTGATTTGAGTGAAAGGGAAGATCACGCCTTACTAGAGCACGCTGGAGCTGAAAAGGGATCAGGACAAGCCATTGGGTGATTGGATATGTTGTTGAATGCAAAAATTGTGATGGTAGTCTGTAACCCCCACCTAATAAACAATAAAGGTTAAAAAACATTTTTTAGACCACTTAGCTCCATCTTGGTCTGTATACTTCCGAAGACAGTGTTTCCATCTGTCCAACTCTTTGTCGAAAAATTCTAAGGTCTTTGATGTATATCACATCAAAACAGCAGTTTGGGCATCCTCAGAGGACTAAAACTGTGCCCTTTTCAATGATCTTTGCGTTTGGAGAACAAACAGAATTGTGAAGGGATATGGTAAGGGCATAAGGGGAGCTGGGCAAAGTGTCCCAGGGAACTGCTCCCAGGACAACCCTTGCGATCCCTGAAGAATGAACAGGTAGTTGCATTGTCAGGATGGGGAAAAATCCCTCGGGACAACTTTCCTGGGCTTTTCTACTCAATGCTCTTTTCCATTTTCTTCACAGTGCTTTATAAGAAGAACTGTAGGATCCACTCTGTCCTCCAAGAAAATCTACCTAACTTGCCCCTTTAGAATCCCCACAAGCAGGCTCGCTAGCCCTCCGAGTTGACCTCTCTGCCTTGACTTTAACTCGAGCAACCACATGTTCGTACACATGTTGAATGGGCCTTTGTGTATGTGTGTGTGGCTGGGGTGGAAGGAGTACCCTAATGAGACAAAGATAGGATATCCGTGAGAGAACTGGTCACCCACAGAATAAAGAGAGCTGCTTTCAAAACGTGGGGTTTTTTTTTTAATAAACCCATACAGGGATGAACAGGAACACTGGTAGCTATACTTCAGACTTATCCTCAAATGGCTTGCCCATTTGTCTCTTGTCCTTTAACACTGTTTTATAGAATTGCTGCGGCCACTGTTACAGCTGAGCTAAGGAGATGGGGGCATATAGATTCCATACGTGAGCCAAAACACGAGTGTGAGGATAGCACAACGTTGAGCCCAGTTGGTGGTGACAGGGCTTGGGAGAGCTCCCGCTGAGATGGTGGATGTTGCTAACAAAGATGGCTCCAGAGGGCTCAGTGTGCTCTGCTCATGCATGTTTCTGTCCCTGTTCCTGTACTAGAACCCAGGTGCTCTTTGACTCGCTAAGAAGCAGTGTCTTTATGAATTGTGAGTATTGGAATACTCCGCCAGTTTTCAAACAAACCCCCAATGCCTTCCTTAAGTCAGTGCTTGGATAATCACTTTAGACCACTGACTTATCCAAGCATGTAACCATGGTGCCTTCAGTGCGCCCGCTGAGCCAGCTAGGGCGTTTTCCATGGGCAGTATCTGGTCCCTCAGCGTGGCTGGCGTGGACCCTCAGGCCATGGGTCTCAGGGGATGAAGAAGGAGGAAGGCTGCTGGTAGAACAACCTGAACTTCTCTCGTGCCTGCTGGTGAATAGTGTTCCTTTGGGTCATCCATTTCCCATGGCAAGCCTTCTGGCTGGATGTGGTTGCTCGGTGTCATCAGCTTTGCTACAACCCTACGGCCAACCAAAGGAAACTCCATCCGGTTTGGGGCCCTCCTCCCAATCGTCGTCATGTTTGAGCCCATGGGGCCAATCCATTTCATTGAAGGTCTTCCTCTTTACCAAGTGTGATGCCCTTTTCCAAAGGAGTCTCTTCTGAGAACCTGTCCAGAGTATATGAGACAAAGTCCCGCCATCCTTGCTTGTAAGGAACATTCTGGCTGTATTTTAGAGTAACCATCTAGGTAACTCAGGTTAAGTAAAATCTCATTCACTTCATATATTAGGTCATTGACAGCAGAATACCTCAATTAGCCAGTTTTACCCGGTTTTTAATATACCACCTAGAAAGGGTGTGTATATGTGTGCGCGCGCTTTTATTTAAGTTACAACAAAAACTATTTTGAATATGGGGCTTCCAAATACGCAAATATTTAAATATAAAAGCTAAAAGTTGATTAAATTATTGTGTGAAAATCTGGCCTCTCTGCCTTTGCCTTCATTATTCGGGGTTTTGCTTTTTTTTTTTTTTTTGTCTCCAAAGCCTGCCTTTCCGGAAGCTCTGCTTAGGGACAGTTGTACTGCTCAACTAATAATATCTGGGCCCAGAGATGAGATAATCCACATCAAAACGGTAGAATAGAAGCCGTGAGGGAAGGGAGACAGCGGTCGGTGTAATTTATGAAAATAAGAGTAAATTATAATTTATCAAGAGATTGTGTGGAGGAAGGGAGGGAAAAAAAGAGGAGCTGATACCAAGGGCTCAAATAGGAAGTAAGTGTTTAGAAAATAATGATGGCAACGTATATAGAAATATGCTTGATACAGTTGATGTATGGATTGTTATAAGAGCTATAAGAGCCCCCGGTAAAATGATCTTTTAATTAACATAGTAATAAAATAAAGTTTCGCCATTCAAAACAAAAAAAAGACTGGAATAGAACCTGACACATAAAAACCATCATATCGATGATAATTTTATGATGGTGCTGCCTCTAAACAAACCTGGTCAATGTTTAAGCTTTCTGTTCTCTGACCATAAGAAACATTCCCTGTCTGTAACAATAATTGACACTTATCATCTTTATTGTTCACATCCATAATGAGAAGGCAAGTTTCTTGATGGAAGGAAAAGGCAATACGGAGCTTGTTGATTGACGGTTGGCTTTTACCTGCTTTACAAGCCATTTGGTCTTCAGTTTGATGTTTTCTTTTGTTAACAGAAAATGAAAACATTAGCAGAAAGGAGAAGGAGTGCTCCATCTCTCATCCTGGACAAAGCCCTGCAAAAAAGGCCGAGTACCAGGTAAGGAGCAATCTGTGCATGGCACACTTGGTGTGTGTTTGGAACTTTCTGACAGCTTACGACCCTGGTTGATATTTTTGAAAATTTAGCCATGCAGAAGTGAAATACCTGACTTTCATTTCTGAATGGAAGCAGTTTGTATATATGTATTTGACCTCTGCACAATGCCAGAGGTGGGAGTGCTGGCCCATTGCACAGCTGAAAACCCAATTTTAACTTCTGACACCCTGAAGTTTAATTATGGATAGCCCGCTGCTGAGGGGAAGGCTTACTGATAATATAAATACTTGATTAGCACATATTTTGAGTGTCAAATGTTTTATATAAGAAGCCCTCATATCACTGTCAGGTAAGCATTGGACCAATAACTCAAGGTTGTTGGTTCAAAAGTTGCAGTCACTCCTATGAGGCTGCCTGCTCTCATAAACATTTACAACCGGTAAGTCCTGTTATATTGGGTCACTGAGTCCGAATTGACTGAGTTTGATTTGTATTAGATACTGCGCCCACATTAAAGCTGCATTTTGAGTACAAGATAAAAAGGTATTTCACCAAAGGACAAGGTCTTTGTACCTACTACTGTAGCTTCAGCAAAGGCTGCACAGAGTCCCTGTTGTTTTTAACATTTATCTTGAAATGTCAGGCAACCGCAGTTGCAGACCTCAGTCGACGTTACGTACCAAGCCATTCAACTCATCATGTAATGTCGAGATTTTCGGCTGCTTCTTGGGAGCACTCCCAGCATCACTGGCAACACTTCATATGAATCCTGTGGTGACACGCAAGGTTTACCGTTTTGCACAAAACATGATGAAAAATATGTGACAACTATGAGAGCGCTCCTTTGACCACAATAGGCAATTTATGGCCGAGATGAAGTGCTTATGTGGAGATGATTACAATCGCATTGGCAGTTTTTTAAAAATCTGGGTCAAAATGGAACTCTTATTGTTCGTAGGGAAACGCTCCATAACACATAGGGGCACAGTGGTACCTATGCCTCTCTATTTTTTTTAATCATTTTATTAGGGGCTCATACGACTCTTACCACAATCCATACATACATCAATTGTGTAAAGCACATTTATACATTCATTGCCCTCATCATTTTCAAAACATTTCCTCTCCACTTAAACCCCCGACATTAGGTCCTCATTTTCCCCTCCCTCCCCTCTCCCCCCTCCCTCATGAGCCCTTGATAGTTTATAAATAGTTATTTTGTCATATCTTGCCCTGTCCGACGTCTCCTTTCACCCACTTTTCTGTTGTCCGTCCCCCAGGGAGGAGGTCACATATAGATCCTTGTAATCAGTTCCCTCTTTCCAACCCACTCTCCCTCTACACTCCCAGTATCGCCACTCACACCACTGGTCCTGAAGGGATCATCCACCCTGGATTCCCTGTGTTTCCAGTTCCCATCTGTACCAGTGTACATCCTCTGGTCTAGCCAGACTTGCAAGGTAGAATTCGGATCATGATGGGGGGCGGGGTAAGCATTTAGGGACTAGAGGAAAGTTGTATTATTCATCGTTGCTACATTGCACCCTGTCTGACCTACACCTTTCTAATTCACTCTTCTGCAGTAGAACCAGGCACCTGCATAGTTTTCAGATTTTGCCCATAATTCTTCTGATTCAAACATGGGTAAGAACCACTATGGCAATTTAAACTCGGGTCATTTTTAGCTTTGTTTGCCTATCTTGTGTGAATTTTGGAACCAAATTTTAAGAAATAAATTCTAGAATGGATGTATAAAATGGCAAAAATAGTACATCACTCTTATAAAACCAACAATATGAACATATATTAAAGAAGACCTAATGTCCCAACTTCATTCTTAAATATAGCCACTAGTAATCACTTGTACATTCTTTTAAAGCCTTTACTCTGCAAATCTGATTAGAATTTTTATTTGCTTTGCCTTGTGTTTAAATTCTCAACTTAATGGAGATATATTACTTCTCCCATTTTCTTTTTTTGTTTGTTTTTGGGGTTTTTTGCCCTTAAGTCAAATCCAATGTTTATAAAAATTTTTTGCTGTTATTTAATTTCAATTATTTCAAATTTAATATTAAGTAGCCACATCTGTCTAATAGTATTAGCATAAGTCTATATGCGATAATTCTCTTTTTCTTTTTTTTAAAAATAATTTTACTGGGAGCTCATACAACTCTTATCACAATCCATACATACATCCAATGTGTCAAGCACATTTGTTGTCATCATCATTCTCAAAACATTTTTTTTCTACTGGACCCTTTAGTATCAGCTCCTCATTTTTTCCCTTCCCTTCCTCATGAACCCTTAATAATTTATAATTTTTTTTCATGTCTTACATTGACTGATGTCTCCCTTCACCTACTTTTCTGTTGTCCGTCCCCCAGGGAGGGGTTATATATAGATCATGATGATCAGTTCCCTCTTTCTCCCCCACTTTCCTCTTACCCTCCTGGTATCGCTACTCTCATTATTGGTCCTGTGAGGTTTATCTGTCCTGGAGTCCCTGTGTTTCCAGCTGTTATCAGTACCAGTGTACATCCTCTGGTTTTGCCGGATTTGTAAGGTAGAATTGGGGTCTTGAAAGTGGTGGGGAGGAAGCATTAAAGAACTAGAGGAAAGTTGTATGTTTCATCATTGCTACCCTGTACCCTGACTGGCTTGTCTCCTCCCCACAACCCTTCTGTAAGGGGATGCCCAGTTGCCTACAAAATGGACTTTGGGCCTCTACTCCACAGTCCCCCTCATCCACATTGTGATTTTTTGTTCTTTGATGCCTGATACCTGATCCCTTCAACATCTTGTGATCACACAGGCTGGTGTGCTTCTTCCATGTGGGCTTTGCTGCTTCTCAGCTAGATGGCTGCTTGTTTATCTTCAAGTCACTAAGACCCAAGACACTATCTCTTTTGATAGCCAGGCACTATCAGCTTTCTTCGCCACATTTGCTTATGTACCTACTTTGTTTTCAGCGATCGTGGAATGCCAGGTTAATAGAACAAAGTGTTCTTGCATTGAGGGAGTACTTGAGTAGAGGTCCAATGTC